ATGCATCAGAAGTTGACACATTGCCAACACTTGGTGGTTTATGTACTTCAGCTGCTACCACAACGCCACCAAGGGAACCAGCAGATCAAGTGGTAGATGGACTTACTAAAGTACTAAGGATCCCCAATTGATATGACTCATGAAAGAACTGCAGGCCATGCCACAGTTGGCACAGTGACGGACGGAAACAAATACAGAACACCACCGGCTAAGTTTGATGTATGCATCGAAGATACGAAGATACTCATTAGCTCAGAATGCGAAGATCAGGCTAATAGTCGATTAGGCATTTTATCAAGCAACATTGATTGGTGCAAGTTCTATAAGATAGCTTCAGAAAGATTCTTCAGTTCTTGGCCCTTGTCGAGGATCTATTGATAGATAACAACCAGTTACTTCGACAAGTTGGCATCTTCTACCAAGACGATGATAGATCAATATCTTCTCAAGAGCCGATGCATTAAACCTTCATCGGCTCCTGGTATAAGAACCAGAAAGAAATAAGTCACCAACCAGGAAATTGGAATATATATATATATATATACGACATTAATGATCTGGTGATAAAAAAGAATATAAAATATATCGTGAACGTTGTTGGGACATCGGCCTATGAAACAACCGATACAGTCAGCTATGTAGGAAGATACAAGGCAAGATCAAGATGAATGAGTCCCATACAAGACGAAAGTGGCCACCGCTGATGACTTCTTCTCTAGCTTCCTCACCAAGCCTGACGTCACCAACAATACAATCAGCTCATCACAGGAGCCAATGCTGAGAAGATCCTAGAGATGAACATGCCAGGCTTCTCGATCCCCTGCATTGACTATGCATCGGGCGGGCTATCAGGCCAGAACTCATGCACGTCGATTCTCCAAATATTTGAGTCATGGTGGATGAAGAGTGCGGGTAGCTCCAAGATCACGCCAGCAGTTCCTCCGGTTCTCTAGCAAACTTCCTACGGAATCAGATCGGAACAGGAGTAGACTCTATTGACATGGTCATATACATCTAGATTCAGCTTCTAACATAAGTAAATTCATCAGCTATGGATGCATCTAACTACAGGTGATTCTGAAGGTTCATGTTACAAGGGTAAAGCAGCTGATGATTATATTCCAGAATAATGATATTGGCTTGGAAGATCATGGATAAATTCTATCGACTCATCAGCTCGCATGAAATCCTAAGTGGCCTCCAGGTTGCCTATCGGCTTGCATAAAATGAGTATAGCTCATCGGCTGTAAAAACTAAATAGCCGATGGAGTATTAGCTGAATGGAGTTATTTTATTGAGAAGCTAATTGCCGATGAAGCATGGTCACGTAACGAAGTTCGAAAGGAAAATGATGTGGACCCCGAGTAGATCATCAGCCATGTTGAATGAACAAGAGTGCCGAGGAAAAGATCCACAGCTACATTGGATGGGAAAAGGAAAGCGCTTACGAACCATGGCAATTCATCGGCCTCCTGCCACTATTCGATCCACTATGACAAGACATCACGGAGAACAAGGCCGGCGATGGACGGTCCAATCAACAAGGTAGACGGATCCCCCGGGATGTTCCTAAAGTGTAGGTACGAGATCATGAACTGGCTAGACACATCTACGGCGTACCAGTGATGGCGTGAACAACACGTCGGCGTTGAGGAAGATGGACATCAACATCGTAGTGAACGACACGATGGATACGGCTCCGAGTGCATCGGACATCATATCGACGAATTCGGGTTGAGCATGATCTTGAGAACCATGTTCGCCAACTACGGCGAGGATGAATGAGAAGTGTTGGCGCTGTACAAAGGATGTCGCACGGCCTCAACCAGGCTACCGCCAATCCCAACTCCTTTGGCGATGACAACTAGGACCACCATGAGCTGTCAGAGCTCAACAAGCATGTCACAAAGAACGCCGAGGTAGTCAGGTCTAGGGAGCTGCACACGTTCAAGGTGCACAACAAATTCATCATCAAGCTCAAAAACTTCAACTTATGACAGCCGATGGCACGCATGTCAATAAAAGCCGATGAGGTCTTTTACTACAAGCAGCCAAGAATCAAGAGTCCAGATATATAGAGATAGGCTAGGGGGGCAGTACTGGCTCAGTTTCCACTTCAGCTGATGCATCAGGTGATGAAGCCATTTGGCCTGGCAGACACGATGTGGCCGACTCAAGTAGAGCTACCGCCAGCAAAGATACGTTAGCAGTGGACGACCGCGTGCGACGTGAAGAGTTTGGATACGCAAATGGTGTTCTAAACGCACAATCGGCTATGTAGAGCCAATGCAGCCACAATCGACTAAATTTGCTGCTGAAAAAAGGGAAAGGATCAGAGTGCAAACAGGAATCTACCGAGGACTATCACATATGCAAGTATTGATATGATGGCCGAGAATCAGGACTCCAAATATATTGTGACACGGGATGCATATATGAAGAAATAAATAAAAGGAAAATTTGCATGTGTGCGTCTACAAAAAGAGGTGTCATCCGAACTTAGGTTTTTCACAGGTCAGGTTTGCATGCTGTTATAAATGGCTGATAGCTTAAGGAAATATTTCTTCAAATTACCCCACCGTCAGCCGAGTGATTTTGAGCAATAACCATCAGGCGAAAGTTATTATCAACATATAGAAAATCAGCTCTGAGTATTGAAAGGTTCTCGAGTTTGTTTAAATATTGTGGTAGCCAAGAACAAAGGTATCAAGTTAATAGCTGATAAGATGCTCGGAGTATATCATTATTATGCCAACCGATGCAAGCAAGAGAAGATCAAATTAATAATGATTATTCTAATATATGGAGATTGGCTATTTTACATTGGCTTATTATTCATGGATGCGTACATGACATGGATTAATTGAGATCGGCTATTTTACATACGCATGAAGGCGTTTTACTGTCAGTGGTCTTTATTGAAAAGCAGACCAGGAAGCAAGGAATTGTTGTTTCTTTAAGTTGCCATGCGAGGAAGGTCTTGTCGATGACGCATTTACTCTCCAAGTTGACAAAGACCAATCACCTCTCTTGAGATAGAATCGGCTGCTGGTTCAAGACCTTACCCTTCAAACTGACGGAGTCTATAGCTGATCGACAAGGGTGTAAGACTAGTGAGATATCAGTTTCTGGTATAGCAGTGGAATTTCAAGAATAATCACATAGAGCCAATGAGGATCAACATAGCCGATGATCGTCGCTAGTTCGATTGTCGAGGTCACATTGAGTTTTCCTCCATGGGTTATTATCATCGGCTGTTCGACTAAGTATATTTTTCGATAAGAAGGAAAAGCCATCATGGGAGGTTGTATCAGAGATACGGAAAAGGTTGACAACCTGACAGCCGATAGGAGACCATCGGCTAAAAATTATTATCGACATGCGAAAGACGGTGGAGATTAGTTATCGATAAGGATATCAGGACAAGGTCATCTGGCTTGATTACTTCATCGTCGTCGCCGAGGACACCATTGTCATTTAGGAGGTCGAATCACCAGAGCGAGGACTAGTGATGGCTGCCGATGCCCTATGTCCTGGACGCCATCTTCCAATGAAGTAGAATCGGCTACCCCCAAGCCTATGAACCATTTGTTCCCCAAGAGTGGATAAACAAGCATGTGGACCTGGTGTATCACATCATGCTAGGTGCCGATAAGTTCTCACTGGAATTCTTGCTTGACACGCTCAACATCTTGTCGGAGCACGACTTGCTGGCAATGGCCGACCGGGTAGAGACTACTATGTACGTGTGGCGACGCAAGGTAAGTGGCAGCAGCAACAAGTTACCATGGAACACGATCAACGAACTCATGGCTGACAGCGACGATAAGGAAGTGATGCTGGCAAACAAGGCTATGGACCTCCTCCTCTACATCAACTATATTCTCTCATGGAGGCATAACTGATGGATGAGCAAAGGATGTGGAAGAGTTTGGCCATAACACAACAAATGTTGCTCATTGTTGTCCACATGGAGTCTCATTGATATGGCAAGTGACCTTAGCTGCACCGTGTCTAACGCATCCACGTCCTTCTCGGAGCAGTGCAGCAACGTCGACATCAGCAGATTGTTCAAGCCAACCGCCACAGTGGCCAAGCTCCTCGGCCGATCCTCGGCA